CAGTAACATGAGTGATTAGAAAAGAATATTTCAAAGCATTCAAATGCACTCAGAATACAACGACCACAGCGCTTTACCTTGTCTTGAACAATTTTTCCCGACCATGTTGGCCTTTAGATGTAATATTAAGACCTTGTTCCTTGCTATTTGAGTAACAAAGCGACATGTCTCGGGGGGGGGGTGCAAATGTCTAGCGTAATATCACAATAAATAAGTGACGTACTGATTGTCAACATCCTGCAGGTGCAAACTCAAACTCTTAATTATTCTATTGAAGGTAATATTCAAAGAAAGAAGACAGGTTTGCAGCAAATTTGTTTCGATTTTCTCGTGCTCTACAGTTTAGTAACAAATTTGTAGGTTGCAAATGTCAACTTTTTTGAGGGGCAACCCCCAAACTACTCACACCCGAACTAAAATTGTCTTAAAGGGGCACCTTCCAGTTACGCCTAATCTCACAACAAATTTACTTTCTGGATTAAAATAACAATGGATAACAAAAGATAGATTAACATTGTAAACAACATAAACAATAGTGTCCCATGATTCTTTGATGCAATCCATGGTATTGAGCGGTTCCCCTTTAATTAATACACAGAACTTTGACGTCTCCTTTGGACCTCAAACGAATGAGGGCCGCGGCCGATCCGCAGCCATATCAAACCAGTCTCCACGTAACGCTCGCGGTCAATTATATCCATCTATAACGATTCATCTCGACAATAAAAAAGTATTTATACAAAGTTGTATCAAATACAAAGGGTGTACTTTACCTGGAAATCGTTTCTGCTGAAATCAATTCCACGGACAAACGGCAAGACTCCAGTGGCCGCCATCTTGTAAAGGGGGAAAAGATATTACGGATTTCTAGTGTCCAGAATGTTAGATTAGAGCTTGAGAGGCCACTTCAAACACTGTGAATTAAAATACCACGAAGTAGTAAAGCGTATTAGTCTGAAGAGTGTCTCTATTCCACCCGCGTCCAAACACAAAATTACAGATAACTGTATATACTCAGCCACTTCCGTAAATATCCATTTCAATTTCGGTGGAGTGCGCCCTCTAGAGGCATTTCGTT